ACTTCTATACTCATTTCCTATGCTAAACTTTTCTCTGCCTATTGTTCTTTTTGCATTTAGTTTTTCCTAGCCCTCACTACTGTGTAGTTCTAGTTTAAAATTCCCTTACAGCTGAGTTAATAGCCTTAGCAAAAAAGGCAGCCCCTACTCTATTTAAATGTAAACCATCCATTCCAAAAAGCTCCCTTTTCCACTGAACTGATCCCACAAGTCCAACCAGCCAAGCTACTCATCCTAACCTAAGCCTAGCATTTAGCCATAATGACCTGCTTATAACTTCATCCCCACAGTTAATCCTGGGCAGTATCCCTGACAAAATTAAGTTATGGCCTTTTTCTTTAAATGCCTTTATCAACCCCTTGTACTTATTAATTAGCTCCTCTGACCTACCTTTCCCTACATCATTAGCCCCGACATGCACCACAAAAACTGCATTTCTGGTATCCCCCTTTATTATATCTCCTGCTCTAACAGTTATATCCTCCACCTGGGTAGCATAATCTGATTCTTTTCTCCTTATCTACCCCACAGACTATTCTATCTACATGTCTTGTCAAGTATTGGGATCAGATAAGCCTGATTCCAAATACTGTCTGATTTTTTAACAATCTCCTAAGAGAGTGTGGTGATAAGTCGGACTCACAGTAGTTAAAGTTTTACTATTATAATGACAAATATATAAAAAAACATCCATTTCCTCTTTCAATGAACCATTTTATCACTTTGACACACAAAATAAAACTAAATTTATAACAAAGTTAACAGTTTTATTTTTCTAACAGGGTGGTTGGCCTTTGGAATAGGTTGCCTTTAGATGTTGTGGATTTAAGTGAGTTTAAGAGAAAGCTTGAAAACTATATGAATGACAATGGATGGCTTTAAGAATTAAAAAAATATATATTCATTTACTAGTTTTGCTTCATGATAAGTCTCAAGAATTTTGTGACTTTTTGGACTAAACAAAAATGATAATGTTTTCAAAGTGCTTTTTTGAAGCATGAAACTGTTATTAGATACATATACTTTTGGAAATAAAAACAACTTAACTCCCATTTTTGGAGGGTGATGACATTTATAAGTACATACCTTGACCTCCCTTTTTGGGGGGTAATGACTTGATGTAGTTAAGTATTATACCAATGAACCATTTGCTGGTAGCTTCATCATGTAATATCTCTCCCTTTTATTACTAAATTCATGCCTATCTGTACAAACATAGTATTGCATGGTAAGTATAATCTAGCTTGCAAATTATAAACTACAGCTTTAAAAAATATCAAAATATTTCAATATCAAATTGTCTGTAATTTTGAGATCACCATATAATATTTCTATTAATTACATTCACCAAGAATTGTTTCTTGAGATCTTATGTTACTTGGAAGTTAATGTTATTTTTTCACTGAGTAAATTCTATTTCTCTTTCAAAATATGTTAGATCTATGACTTAAAAATTACCAGTTACATTTATTAATTTAAAACAAAAATCAAATTTATCAGAAATGACTAACTTCCAAACAGTTCATAAAAAATTACTCAGGCTAAGCAATATTGCTGCAAGTCTCACTAGGTCTCAATTTGGATGGTTATGTACTTATAAATTACATAATATCATGCAAAACTTCTCAGCTTTCTGGTGTAGTCTATTTGATTCACAGACAAAGTTTTGATACCTTGGTTTCTAAGTGCTTTGTTGTATATGTTTTTAAAATGTGCAACAGCCTCCACCCTTTTCATTAAATAAGAAAAACAACTTCTACTGTAAATAAATTTATCTTAGAATTGCAAAACTTATACAATCTTAAAGCTAACCTTTTGCATTTTCATATCTGGATAAATGTACTATGTTGAGGTAAAATAAAAAAAATGTTTTTTTTTTATCAATCTTACCTCCACTGAGATATGCTGCCATAAACTGTCTTTTCCATACAGAGCTACAGCAGTTGTAGAAAAACTGTGAAGCACATACATGTTGATGGCAAAATGAGCAAAGGAATGATGACTAAAAACAGACAGGATCATTGGAAGACAAACAGCCTCTGTAAAAGTAATTTATGCAAATATAAAACAAAATATGGTTGAATTTTGCAAGATATACATTCACATGAAAAGAACTGACAAAATTAACTTTACTTCCTTACATAGATGGATTGAAGGAAGTAAAATAGTTTTCTATGAAGCTTTAAACATTTTAAAGCTATTTACTGGCTAAACCTTAAGATTTTCACCCAACTAGAAGTTGTGAACAAGAGTTAAAAGGTGAAATATAAAGTTTATCTGTTATGTGCATTAATCATTTAGCTAACTTACAGACTAATAATTTACACTGAAAATATTTTTTTGAACTTCTGTTTCAAACAGTTCTAGGTACAAACAGCCTTTAAATGACCACGACTGGTTTTCATAACTAAAAGGATGAGTTTGAACAAGGAATGTAAAATGATTAAAGTACATGTTCACTTACAGTACTATCAAATCCAATAGATACTTGTTGGGAAAATATGGTTGGAAAGAGAAAAGGTAGTGATGGATGTAGAGAAGTGAGATTGGGATAAACCTGAAACTAATGAGGAAAGCAAGGGGAAGACAGACAGGCTGCTTCAGTTCGTGATTCCAGGGAATCAGTTACACAGCCAAGGAGTTCTTGATGGAGGAAGAGGGCAAAAAGAAGATCACGAAGGAAGAAGGTTTTTCAGGTTTTTCTTTTACATACGTGTGAATGGGCAGGATTCTTTACAGTAGGTGTCTGTGGCTTGTTGGTGATAAATTTAAACAACAAAAACATGGCATACAATCCATTTGTTTTGAAATAATATATTAAAATAAGTCAAATAATATACAAATGTTTGGTACACAGTTGAATCTGGAGCTTTAAATAATTCCCTTTTACATCAAAAATACACACAGGCTGGTTCAGTTACTTTAGAACCCAATTGACAAGATGAATTATCCTTTTCTATTCTGTTATTAAAATACAATCTGTGACTATAACCCTTTACAAGTCACCACTATACACTCTTTATGACTAAACTCACAATCATCTAGTCTATATATATATATATATCTCTATCTCTTTTCCTTAACTTCCTTTCACATTTTGTTTGTGAATTGTTATAAAAAGTCCAAAGGATGCCTAGAGCTTTTTAAACACTACAAGATAAATGATGCAACAATACTTATTCAAAACAACAAGAAAAATTCAGAAGGTTCGAATAACATGATGTTAATTGACAACACTTGAACTACACCATTTAGTCATTTTTCAAATGATGATAATGATGATTCTTCTTTGAAAAGCCAAAGCGTGTATATGATGATATTTCTCAATGTTTGATTATAATGCATGAGCACTTTGATTCTATTTTTACTGGAGATAAAGTTGGCTGTTCACATACAATGCAGTGTGTGAAGATTTCTTCAGTCATTAAACATTCTTAAGAGCAAATAGCACCCTTGTTTCCTACATTACAAGCATTTTTAAATTATGTAAGTTGTATAAAATAGTAACTGAAAGTTAAATCTTTTCTGTGTCTTAAAGGCACCCTATGATCTTTGCTTAACTCTGGTATCACGTGGCAAGCATATAAAAATATTTTCACACTAGCTTGGACTATAATCACAGGTTAACTGTAGCTATTAGCTGGTACTAATTTTACATCTAGGTAGATTGAAGAAATTTTTATGTAAAGTGTTTTGCTCAAAGACATAATAATTAAGCACAAGTAGATTTGTAACCAGCAATGTTTTGATTACTAGTTCAATGCTTTAACCACTAGTAATATTATATCAAACCTAGTTAGTGTCCTAATTACTACCGAAATCTTCTCATCATAAATCTGCAGTTCTGAGCATACTGATTATTATTTTGCATTATATATTCTATGAGTAAAAATAATAACAATTTTCTGATACTTCATGTGAATGAAGGAACACACAATTTAGCAAATCAATTTTTTATTATTGTTTCTGAAAGAATTGTTTGTTTGTTGAACATCACACAAAACTACTCAAGGGCTATCTGTGCTGGCTGTTTCTAAGTTAGAAGTAATAAACTAAAGGAAAGGCTGCTAGTCAACACCACCCACTGCCAACTCTTGGGCTTCTCTATTACCAATGAAAAGTGGGATTGACCATGTTCAATGAAGGGATTACAACTCACAGATTGTAAATAGAGTACCCTAACCTCCAAGTCAAAACAGATGAGGTATAATAATAATTATGTTCACAAGAAAAGACAATGAAACGAAATGTATACTTCTTTGTTCTGGTAAAATCTTCACTTACTTGAGGATGGGTTTGAACAGAAATACTTCATCAAAAAGGGCTGTAATGCAGGCACTCGCCATAGCAACACCACAATTGCATTTGCACCAATAATTCCCCATGCTACTTTCTGCCCTTCAGATAAACTGTTCCACCACAAGTTAATCTGTAGAAGAAAGTAATTGTGCTTGTAAAAACACATTCTAAGGTCAAAAATAAAATTCTGTATCATAACATTATTATTAAACTTAACATTCATTTACAAGTGACTTAATATTAGTCACTTGCACCTGCAGTACAATAAAAAATTATATTAACTTCTCCATGCCCCATTAACCAATTTATAATCTTTAATGAATATGACAAAGACAAATTTGTATGGCATTTTCCTTATCATTTACTGAGTTTAAGATTAGCTAAGGCACTACTTACCATATACTGAAATACTTTTTAGTTTATAAGATATGAATATATGCAAAATATATTTGTTGAACAAACACAACAATGATGTTTCACAAGTTTCAATAACTGCATGAATAAAAGCAATTTCTGCTGGTTAATAATTTACTTTAAAAAGCATTAAATGGCTAATTAGGTAAGGAAGGAAGTAAAAGATATAAAAGTACCAACCATCTAAACATTGCAACAGTATATTGTTGGTGAATAATAAAGCCTTTACACCAAAGTTATATTCTCACCAAGATAGCTAAAAACATTTAATCAATACTATATATATTTAATTGTATTTAAAATGTTTTTGCCAATTTCATTTATAATGTGGTACTCACATAATTATTTTTGATGATTTAAATATTTTTTTGTTTTAGTTAAGACTGAGAAAGCTCAGTACAAGCTAGTTTAAAATTGCACAGGTGAGACATTTTCATTTTTTAAAGGAGTGGCTTTACTAACAGCAAAACAGAGCTGAGATTTCAGGTTAAGAAAATTTATTATAATGATAGCATCAATAGTTTCTAACATTCTGAGGTGGCCAAAATACAAACATGAATAAAATATAAAACAAAGTTCTATAGTACAAAGTATCTGTACATATTAGCAGTGCTTGCAGGAAAAAGTTTAAACCCAATCAAACTTGTGAGGAAAACACATGACCCTACTGAATTTGATCCAAGATAAACCACTGGTTAAAACTTTGCATTAAAAAAGGATTAAGACAAGACATTGTTTTTCAACAATTTTTTTAATAATTATTTTGTAACAAAGTCCATTTCTTAGAAAAGTTAGTCTTTGACTTAATTTTTAAATAATGATGGTCTTTCATTATTACATGCATTCACAAAAAAGTCTTTTACATTTCTAGAGTGACTTTAGAAGACGTTGTTCCTTAATCGATTTAAGTATGAAGATATTATTTATAGATTTAGCAGACTTTCTATCACACAAAGTATTTATATGTTATATGTTAATAGTAGGGTTTGGCTTATAATTCAAGCAGTACCTGATGGTGTTAATTATTATTGATGTGTTTTGTAAAACCAATACTATTACCAGCTTTCAAAATTACCATATCTTGAAATGACAGCTAATATAACTCCAGAAAATAAAATAGATTTAAACATGACATTTCAGCATATGCCTTTTACACTGGTCACACCATCAGAATTTAGAAGTACTGTTTGATGTTTCAATGACTAACTGAAAAGAACGTTGTAGTTCAACAATATGAAACAACAACTGAATAAGGATGCAACCCACATTCATCAAAAGAAAATTAAGCTTGAATGGTAAAAATAAATGTTAGTAGTTGGTGAAATCCGATTAATTAAACATGAAAAATTATAGATTAGTAATGAAACATTTTTGGAACACATAGGTGCAATTCATTTGCTTAAGAATAAATGAGAAACAACACATCATGAAAAAAGATACTTAGGAAAAAGACTATTTAAAAATTCAGAAAAAGTGTGAGTACGTGATGTATATACTTAAGAAATTTACATCTATTTAAACACAAAATTATCCTAAAACATAATCTATCTATAAAGCACATACAAATATAGGTTTAGATAATTGTATTTTGAGAAAAAAAAACCTTATTTGAAAAAATGAAAGTTTTTATGTAAATTTGTATTGCAATTTTGAATAAAAAAAAAGAAAAAAAAGTAAACCAAAAACTCTTAAAATTTAAATAACAGGCTTTAAGTATAATATAGTACAGCATAAAAAATAGCCATTGAAATAGCAGACCACACATAAATTTAGACAGGTTTATGACATCCTTAACTTAAATTCAGTTTTTAGTCCAAATAAGTATTAAAATATATAGATCATAATATACTTTGGTAGCTAGTGATAAAGAATAAAAAAAAGACAAAGAGATTAAGGTAAAAATTCAGAAAGTCATGTAAAATGATCATTAAACTGCTTATGCTCATATGAATTTCACTTGGTTTTTTTTTCCTGATTTTTTAAGATATCTTGGTTCCCACAGCAATAGAATAGGCCCAAATTTCCACTGTCAATATTTTCTGAGAGGTCGTGCACCCCCCACCCCCCTCTCCCTTGTTTCCACTTGCATTCAGTAGGCATGCTTTTGACAATTTCATTCATTTCCAGCTTTGGCCATCCCAATTGTACACATTTTGCTTTCAGTGTTTACAAACAAGTAATAAGCTAACCACAAATTTGGTAACCTCAGGCCAAAAACAAATAGTTTTGAACAAGAACTTATACATTTTATTTTTATTTCTTTTTATTATGTGCTTTTTAGATTGAATCAATGGAGATTCTTTTGTTTCCCTGTCCATTTTTTTACTGTTACATCTTTATTGAATATTGTGTTCTTAACAATTACTGTCATTTAAGTATCAGTGGGTATAAGTAGTCTGTGACACTGTAAGCCCTTGAAAAAGGCACAAGACATTATTTTCTGGGGTTTAATCATCATTTCAAGATACAGAAAACTTTTTGGGGAAGTAAATACAATTATACTGTTATATGTTATTATTTCAATTGGATTGCTTCATGATTATCAAGATGAATATGGGTGACTGTTCTTGAAGAACATAAAAACACCCTTATGTAAAAAGATAAGGATTAAATATAAAAGTAAAGTGTATTTTCAACAAATCCAAAACACTTAAGAACAGTACATTTCATTTAAAACTACCATACTGAATATAACTTCATTTTAGCAGTAATAAAAACTTAATTATACATAAGCAAGTCCAACATTCAAGATAAATTTCTAAAGCTAGTTTGTCAACTGTAATTCTAATTATACCACCTGAAGAACAGAACATGCAGTAAAATCAAAAATCTGAAAATAAAATGAAAATGGTTGTTTTGCATGTATTTAACATAATGACTTAATTAAAAATATTTTTCAAAATTCCCAAAATATAATTCTTACCTGCCTTCGTAGCTCTCCATGTTTGTAAGATGATTCATTCCCATGTTGCCACCAACTATGTTGTCTTCTTATATAACTAGATGCTAGTTCTCGCATGTTTTCATACTGCCATATTGTTGCCCCCACAAAGCTAGATGCACTAAACTGAAAGAGTTAACTATTTCTTTTAAATCCTAATAAATCTCTTGACATATTCTTAGTCATTTATTTTTCTCAGTTATTGTATAGTTAATGTCATTTATCCAAAGTACATGTTTTTTTATTTTTCATTTAAGCATCATAACGTGAAATATTTAAAAACAAGGCTGAGGAATCCCAATCATTATGACAGCTCATTCCAAAGCTAAAACACCCCCTCAGACAAATCTGTGCAGAGATAGAGCACCCATTTGGAGGACATATCATCTACACCAGCAGAACACCACCATCCTACTCTCAACTGCATGGAGTCTTTATTGTTTATATTGTGTATATCTCATTCAGGAGGATACCTCCATGGTCCACCACACCAGCAACTTGGAACTGGAAAGTAGTAAAGACTCTCGTATTCCAATGGAAGAAACATAGAGAGAAAAATGAGGTGAAGGGTCTGGAGGAGCATTCACACCAGAGACAGTGCAGTGGGTGACCACGAAACCATATTCTGAAAAGCAGACCAAACCCGATTTATTCAATCTGAGGAATGGTAGGGATGGGCAGCAATTCCCTTCTGCTTTACCCATGAAGTCCATGGGTTAATACTCTCCGGAATGGGCGTATTTATGAATCAAATATATCATGAGGAATAACCTATGAATGATTGTGTGGAACACCCCATCTCTAGTTTATGTGATTGTAATGAACAATGTGGATTTTGTGGGCATGGAAATTTTGAAAGTCACATGGCCTTACAGTGCAAATTTAGTTTGTACAATTGTAAGAGACTGAAGTACATCTGGACAGGTCCCACTCACCAAAAAGCGGGATCCTGGTCAAAACATGGGACAGGCCCCTGAAAAAAAAAAAAAATAGAAAGAAAACTTACCAAGTTACATTCTCACTGAAGTCTGAAGAATAGCAACAGGTTGAAGATGATTGATACCCAATGAGGAAGAAAAGCAACACAATGCAGATAGTGAGAGATGAAAGTATGCAATGTGGTGCACAAGCCCACTTGAAGAATTTCCTCCAATGAAAAATGAAGATGAGATGCTAGGGAAAAAGTTTGTTGCCTAATCTGATGGGAAGACACCTGGAACAAATTATGGGAAGATGGAGACAAAGAAGTATAAGCCAACTGAATTAAAAGCTGAACCCAACTGGTAAGGGTGGACGGAGAAAGATCACGAACTGAAGATAGCTGCCAAGGAATGAAAAGGTAAGAATGGTTATTATGGAGGAAGTCATGTGGGCAATATAACAATGAAGAGCATGAATGGGACATAGAAGTCTATCTGGATCAGATCGGGAATAAAGGTGGGAAATGGAAATCAGCGAGAAGAAGGAATTCCCCTCTTACGCTGCTGCAATTTTGGGACAGAAAGATCAATCTAGATAAAAGAGAATATAAGTTCATGAAACGTCGATGGCAAACAAATCTGACCGATGACGTCTACAGGTCAAAAATAGAAAGAAATATGCCTTAAGGGATAAATGAAACATGGAACAAGATGACAAAGGTTCAAATGGAGGTAAAGTAAGGAAGTGCAACACCACAATGACATCCCAATCTGAAAGGACTGCATGCCCTGGAGGTCAACTCATCTCAAAGGAATGCAACAATAGTGATAAGGTATGAGAGATAAAAACTTTATGGTACCAGGAACAACAAAGAGTGTGGGATAAGGCAGCCAGATAACCCATGATCAAGGAGACAGAAGTCCCCAGATCAAATAACCAAGTGAGGAAATCCATAATAACAGGGACAGTGGAACAAGCAGGGAACAACCCAAAGACCAATGGCAGAAAACATTCCACGTATGTTGATAAACCTCCATGGAGGAAGTACAAATGGTTGATGCTAAAAACGAAACTACTTGCTGTGACAAACTGGATCACCTCACCAAGGACCGGATAAAAACCAGGTGTGTGAAGATGAAGGGTAAAAAGGGCTGGATGAACTACCTGGAACTGAAGTTGCCATAGAAGAAATGGAGTTATGGGAAGAGGCAATTGTGGAGCAGATTGGATCTGGAGCAGCCACAGAAACCATGGCTGGGCTGGCCACTAGGGGGCAATCAGAAGGACTTGACACAGAGTGGTGTGAATGATAGAAATCACCCTGGAAAGGAGTTGGATGGGAGAATGCACATATAGGAATTTGTCTGTCCAATCTTGACTGAATGCATCGATAGCCGTTGCAAGTGACTGAGGTACAAGAGACCAAAACTGAAGTATCTTGGTATTGAGAATTGTGGCAAATGCATCCAGGTGGGAGTACCTCACTGATTACATAACCACAGGAAAACTTGAGAATCTAGAGATCATTCTATCAGATAAATTTCTTCCTGGTGGGAAAGATGATCCATGACAAGGTTGAAAGTATCTGGTGAATGACATGCAAGGAGATGAATACCCCCTTCCCCCCCCAAAAAAAGAGATACAATATTTGACCACAAAGGGAACAAAAACTGGTGCCTCCATGGTGATTAATATATGCCACCACCATAGAATTGTTGTAATGGATCAAAACCAGATGACTGCTGGCAAGATGAACAAAATGATCTAAAGCCCAATACATGGCAAGAAGCTCCAAGATATTGATATGGTAAGACAACTGACCTGAAGCTACTTGCTGCTCAACCTGCACCCTCCAGCTGTGAAGTGAAGTATCCATGAAAATCTGGAAATCTGGATGAGTGTTAGGAAGCAGAAAACCTGCCGATGCATAAGCCTTGTCCAACTACCATTACAGATCATCTACAGGGGAAGGAGGAAGGGTAATAGCAACATCCAAGAGATCCCGTGCAAGGTTCAATTGGTTGTGGACAGTCTATTGAAGAGATCTTATATGAGCATAACCCATGGGGATAAGTGCTGCCACAGAAGACCTCATACCCAAAAGAGATGGGACCTCGCAAGCAGTAACAGAGGGAGCAGTAAGGGTACTGAGAACTGCCAGCTCCATCAAAGGGAGATGAAGAGGGGAAGGTTGGGCCCGACTGAGATGTGTGTCAAAAAACATCCAAATAGATACGATATTGGGTAAGAACAAGGAAGAACTTCTCCAACTTGATAAATGAACTAACCCAAGCTGCCTCCAAAAGAAGCACATAAGTGTGCTGGGCAGACTCCAGTTTGGAAGGAGCCAACAGTAGCTAGTCTTCCATTAAATGGTGTGAGCACAACTCTCAATCATGCACTTGTCTGGGAAAAACCTTGACTACTCGGCAAAAGAACAGTGCCAAAGCAAGCCTGAAAGGGAGAGTGTGAAATTGATGAATCATCCTTTGATGAACAAATCAAAGTAGCGTCTCGACAGACGAGATATAGGAATATGTAGATAAGCATTTGAGACATCTACCCTGGTCATCCATAAACCTGGATAAAAAACCCAACTAAGGGGGAGAAACGACTCCATGGTAAAGTGAGTTAGCACCAAGATGTGACTGAGATGAGACAGATAAATCACAAGCTGTCAGCTTCCGGGTTTCTTGGGGACCACAAATAGTCTGGAGTAAAACCCTGGAGAAGGATGAACGACAGGTTTGATGGCATTCTGAAAGAGAAAATCCTGTACTGCCTCAGACAAATGCTGACTTGTGGTAGGATCCTGATGCAATGAAAAGGAAATGGGCATCCAAGATAATGTGGGAGAGGAGAGGAAGCTGTTGAAGAACCCAAAGATCCTTGGTGAACTCCCACCATTTAGGAATAAACTCAGGTAAATGACTCCCCACCGGACCAGAACAAACAGGGTAGGCACCGATACTGCTGGTGGGATGACATTCTGTGTCAAATAAAATGATGAGAGGAAGATCCCCTGGAGGAAGAAATAGGTAAAGAATGGGAAGGATTAGGATGGGAAACAAAAATAGGGGATGATCAAAGCTCAGAGTGAAACAAACGACCAACCAATGAGGAAAGAGTTGACTGTCGTCTCACTGATTCCACTCTGGATTCCAAAGTCACTGTAAGATCTCCAGATACTAACCTATAGAGAGAAAAGTTAAGTCCCTACATGTGCAAAGAAAGAGCCAAATTGACAAATGGATCAATGTGGATGTAAGTAGGGCAAATGTTTCCCCCAAAAACCCTCAGGATCTTGGTGGATCACCTCAGAGAGGAGGTGGATGGTGGAAAAGTACTGTAGGATAAAGGCGAGAAAATTGGGCATTGGATTAATGAACAGGATAATCAGGGCCTGCCCTTCAAATGGGTAAAATTGATTATAGGTGCTGAGAATCAAAGAACAAAAAATCAGCCTGATTGTAGGCTAAAGCAAACTGATCCAAAGCCTGTGGAGGGTGAAGCATGCTAGCACCATCAAGTAACTGAGACAGAAAAAGATATTCATAGCATATCAAGATACCTATTTCATGAGTTTGAAAAAACAATCATGTTCAAATTTCATAACTTTTGTTAAGTTGCACTATATATATATATGTATATAGCTGGCTGCTGAATTTTTAAGTTGAAACTGTAAAGGGATAATATTTTTCTGATGTCAAGGGTGTATTAACAGAAAAAAAAAACTTCCTTTACTCACAGTGAAGCTTTATAATTATTTTGAATAAGAGAATAAAGGTTTTAGGTGATAAATTATTACAAAAATAAATAGTTAGGAAATAATAAAGGTTAAATGTGGGAATGGTTACTACATTTGAGCACAAAATTTTCAGTGCCCAAATCCAAAAAATCATGTCATGAAAAAGTTAATCTAGAAAATATATCTATATAATAATAATAAACAAAAACAAATGAAAATATTGCTTAGGATTTTTTCTCTGTATCACATCTTTTGGCATTTTGTCTTACCCCAAAACCTATATGAGTAGGTGCAAAACATAATATTTAAAAATACCTATAAGTTTTTTAAAAGTATCTATCAGTTTCTTTCGATTAAAAGTATCTATTAGTTTTTTTTTGCTTCAAGCATCTCCTACGACCCCAGCTCAAATTCTCAGCAAGTTTCTGCTACTTTATTTCTTCCTGTAATGTTGCTATAGACATGTTCACGCTGACACAAGTTGTAGACATAAGTTCAAATACAACTTTTTAACATAAACTCTGCAACTAAATTTAAGCCTAACTTCAAATAGAATATTTCAATACATACATGTAACTTAGCTACTTAGCTTTGATAGATAAGCAAACATGCAACACACTGAACACTCAGTAATTTTTCATTAAATTTCTCACTTTGACATTCACTAAATGAAATGAGCTGTTACTTGCATTTATAGATAACTTACTATCTAGTTCTTAGTCAAATTTACTAGATCTTAATGTCATGTGCCTTCTAAATAACATTTATATTAAAACACTGAAAATATAGCTTACAACACTGTATACGTGAGGATGTAAATATTCAAACAAGTATGTTTCAATACTTTGTAAGACTAATTTAGTAAAGTGAAAAACACATCACGTAATTTGATTCTTTGTCATGCACTCAAATGTGTTGTAAAGAAAGGAGAATATTATGTAATTTTTCTTACATAATATTGTCTTATGAACAGAAAGATGAAGAATGAAGTAGCAGAAACGTTAATTCAACGTTTTTAATCTTATATGTTGCCACCCATTTAATGGAACTTTATGGTTTACAGCTGTTGATATAATAAGATCCAGAATGTGAGTGCAAAGCTCTGCCAGATATAACATGTATAGTGAGTCATGTTGTACTAGGACAGTTACTATATATGCAACCAACTAGCACCTATGTTCCGATAGTACAAAGTTGCTAAAATTAAGTTCAGATAATATTTTATACAAAAAGTACTTTTGAAGATAAACATTTTACCTTCATAAAAGGTGAACTTGGAACAATTTAATCAGCTCATCCTCAATAAAAGAGGTTTACATTTAAAAAAAATTTAATTAACAGATAACGTCTCACTTTAACTTACCTTATTTTATTGATTGCATGAGTTTTTCAACTAAATTGACTAAAACTGACAACTGCAATATGTATTTGAGGGTTTTCATGCAAATACCTAATTTTAGGATACCTTCAGGGGCAGACTGGACTTTAAAATTTTATTGAGAAAAAAGCTAAAGAGGGAACACAAATTTGTCATAAAAGTAACAAAAATACATACTTAAGAAGTATGTGTAATTTAATGTTAATACACTAGTCATATACAGTCCACACAATCAGTAATGTTGAAAACACAGAGGAGTCCTTCCCAAGATAGGAAAGATATTCTTCAATAGAAATACTGTTAAGTAAATCCTTTTCCATGCACATCATTATTGGAAAAATTAAGACATTAATTTAAACGTAAATGTGATGGCAAAAGAAAAATAATTATTTCTCTATTGTGCAGCCACAAAAGAGTGTTCTTTTCCAATGGTGCCTTGAATACTAACTCTTTGACTTGTGAATAATTTTTTTTTAAAGTTATTTCCTGAAAATCCCTACTAGTTTTTTTATTGATTTAATAAAATATATAAATTAAGAGAACAAATATTAATGTAATAAAATCTCACTTTTTTAATACAAAATTCAACAAACTCAAGTTGGAAAAAAAATAATACGGTAAAAAGTGTAACTGCACCTGCTCAATACCATCAAAAACAAGTGTTTTATCAACAGTTCCTCTATATAATTACAAGTAAATGTACAATAACAAAAATGCACAAATGACAGTAGGAAATATAACTTTCATAAACAATGTTCTAGTTCTATTTCACATTTTACAGGTACAATGGACTTGAAATACAATAATTTTCTTATGTGATAAAATAATGTAAATATGAGTAAATTTACTTACCCCAAGAGTGAAAAAGAATGGTTTCAAGAGTTGTCTAAAACCAGCTCCTTTTCCTTCTGAATCATGAAATGCAGTTAATCCAGTTTGTTTCTTGAAAGGAAGTCTTCCTGACCCACTAGGCTTACTTTGAAATAGCCTTATTAAATAAATTTGTTTCTGAACTGTTGCATTGTTTGTGAAGCTAAGATTTTTAGAAACAAATGGAACACTGAAAAAAAACAATAAGAGAAATGGATTCCTACCTAAAAAATTCAGTTTATTTTTTACAAATATTATAACAGTGTAGTTCAGAAATTTCAAAAATAAATTTATTTATTTTTATATTGTACATCCCAAACATTCATCTCCACCAGATTTCAGATGAAAATTTTATTTAACTTTAGAAGATTTTAAGTACACTAATGCAATAAATTCAGATGGAGAAAAGATCCAAGATGAACCCCCAAAAGTACAGATAGAGGAGTTGTTCAAAAGCAAAGAGAATCAATGAGCGGATTGAAAAGACCTAATTTGCATACTTTGAAGTTAGGCTATTCAAAACGATAAAAGATACGAGCAGATGTAGTGAGCATCTATTGAGAAGTAAATGACAAAGTAAGACAAGAGAATGCTAATTGTCTTAAGAAAGGAAGACAACAAGAAGCAAAACAAGCAGCTAAAACTGTAATCAAATTCTGATGGCATACTTCTCCTGAATAGGAAACCAGCTAGGTGAAATACTTGTAATGAAATAAATGAGGTACGAAAAATTATCTTTCAATTTAAACAATGAGGAAGATGAGCACAATGGGTTAAAGTGTCAGAGGAACATAAGAACCACATGGAAATAAAATATCAGTGAGACCAGTAGTTAATGAAGACTACAAAGTTGATATTTGATTTTGCCTAAATGAATTAGGAAAATAAGAATAGCTAATAATGGGGTAAGAAAAGAAAGACTCAAAACAAGAAAAAATCATAGCATGCAAGGCAAAAAACTGACAATAAGTCAAAGTACAAGACCACATGGAAGATCTCCCTCCAATAACCAATCTGATGGTCTGAACTGGAAAAGTAATATGAGAAGTGAAATATAAAGTCTAATAACATTTTGCTAGTTTTTAAAAGCATCAGTAACTACCTGAATATCAGGAGGTGAAATAAATGACGATACAAGTACTGAATAGTCTGACATGTCACCAGCACAGCATCCTCAGGTGTAAATGAAATTGGTTCAAGATTTAAAATAGAATGTACCTAAGAGTAAAAAATAAGAGGCCAGCAGAAGCTAGATCGTGATTGAGGATAGCAGATAAATCATGTTCTACAGACACTGAAAATGAAAAGACATGAGCAAATGATAGATTTTGTTGAAAGTAATGAGGAAATGATGGCTGTTATACAAATTGAGCACTCACACAATTGTAAAACCCACTAGAGATACCAATATACAATTCAGTATTAATGGTCCAAATATATTAGTCAAAATGGTTTGACAATGTAACAATGGAATCACAATGTATGATAGAAGCAGATTGTATGAGTAAAGCCTCCAAAGGTTTAGAATTTCCAATATTGTTGGAAATATTTGCACCAGAATTAATGCTGACTTCCAAATACATTGTTACAAAGTTAACAAGAAAAATCTGAATTATGGCAGGAAAGCAGAGTTTATGTAAGGTGGGAGAGTAGAGCATGTAATATAAGTAATTTCCTTTACATATAGTACATGCTCTACTATACGTAAAGGAAATTAAGAATTTCTGAGTCACATTTTGTTGATAGCATGAGTGTAAACTCAAAAAGGAATGGCTTACAGTACTGTAGAGGTAAAACTACCTGATTTGAATTTTGGATTCAGTTTTTGTTTATGACTGCCTGGCCATATAAATTTATTTTATGGTTTAATTTTGATTTTCACTATTTTCAATTATTTCTGAGTTCATTATATTTCATATTAACTTACAGGCTACTGGTTTTTGTGTATCCTTTTGTTGCTTGTTTGTTTTGAATTTCGTGCAAAACTACATGAGGGCTATCTGTGCTAGCCATCTCTAATTTAGCAGTGTAAGACTAGAGGGAAGGCAGCTAGTCATCACAACCCACCACCAACTCTTGGGCTACTCTTTTACCAACAAATAGTAGGATTGACCATCACATTATAACGCCCCCAATGGCTGAAAGGGCAAGCATGTTTGGTGGGATGGGGATTCAAATCCGCGACCCTCAGTCGAGTGCCCTAACCACCTGGCTATGCCCAGCCCCCTTTGTTGCCTTCATGTATGTATTATGGAGTCTTGCATGTGATATGATTACAGCATATTATGACCTGTATTTAACTTTACAATATGGTTGTTCAGTTTAACTTCAGTGTTTTCGGCTGGAAGACCCTGGGATAAAGAAGAATGTATTTTTGTATCCAATTGTTACTAATTTAGACTCATGAACTAGTATGGAATATATATATATATCCAGGTATATTCATATAATTTTCACTAAATTTTCAAGCAGGTGTTCTGCATGTAGTCATGACATTCTCCTATACTGGACATTAGGATGTGAATAATATGTGTTAATCCATCTTACTTAGAAAAAGATTATAAGTGGTAACAGCTCGAAGAATGTATCACCATGACCCTGTGTCTATGTCCACAAACTGGTATGATTGGGGGGGGGGGGGGTCTCCCCTATATATGTTATCTGGAATAGTTAGTGATGTTCACAGCTTTGAATTATGGGATACCACACTTGGGCCCTTTGTTCAATTTGTGATGTACCATAATTCATTCTCTTTGTGTCTTGTGTAGATGTAAATAATTCTTGTTATCCTTGACCAGTACGTAACTATTTTTGAAAGCCTCTCTTTACACCAGCAACCATACCATATATCGGACAAAAAACTGGCCAATAAGTTAAAATACACAGTTATTCATTGTGAATAAAAATATTGCTTTTCTTGTTCACTTGTGTTTCCTTTGCTATTCATGCAGTACATTTCAATTAATATGCATTTTTGCAGATACCTGAATGCTACACGAATAACAGATTTTATGAAGTTTTCTACACCAAATCTTAAGCAAGAATTCTACACATCGTTCACATTAAGATTACACTGATCTACAAGTTAAAACAAAATTCTATTAAATGTTTAATGAGATGTTGTCTGCAACTTCTGCTGACAAAAGATGTTCAAACACTAGATTATTCTTTTATTTTAGCCCACTTTGCAGGGAAAAAATGTATTTGTAAAAGATCTGAAATTTATCATTTTCTTAGAATGAAAATAGATTTCCAATAGATACTTACCTCCCTCACATAACAACTTTTACTAGATCTTCTACTGCCCTCTAATGTATTGAAATGTTTCTCACTTGATGCACTAACCTTTCTACCCCATAAGTTCGAGCTGCTCATTTAGCATGCATAGAGCATGTGACAACCCTCCACCGATAGGGGCAAGACATCCTTCTAGAGCAGCTGGCTCCCTCTGTATTATTCTACGTGTACCTCCCTTTCAAGATTATGCACATAAAAAACATAATAACACCAGAAGTGAGACAGAAGGATGGGAAGTGAGTGGTGGTAACCATCTATTGGAAAGCTATTTTCAGTGTAAGAAAATTATAAATTCTGATATGACATACACATCCTCTCACATAATAGCTAGAATCCCACATTAAGTTGGTGGAGGGACAAGTGTATTATATAAAACGAAAGACTCCTGTGGAAAGCATCCGTACAGAATTGAACCTGGGTGCTTCCTAACAGATGGGAAGCACACTTTTGGGGAACTGCACCACATCTGGAATAGGTATGCTCTTCGTCATCAAAGAACTAGAGCATCATAAAATGTGCAGAATTGAGGCAGGGACTATTAAATGAAAAGGCCTCAGAAAACAAAATAACAGCATATATCCAACCTCAACTGTACAGATGAGGTTCCATATCCTGTCCTCAGTATTATGAGGTGGAGTACTGTCCAAAATAACAAAAGCAGTATTGTGGTCAGGACAAGCAGACCATGAATAATATATACATCTACCCCAACAATAAGTAAACAGTGTGTTATACTGCAAGCAACCAGAAGTATGATGAGAAAATAAGCAAACAGGAACTTCCAGACAAACTTCCAAATCAACAATTAGAGACAGGAAGTACAACAAGCCAAACCTAGAATTACAGTGCCGTGTTTAAGCCTGAACCCAACCATAAAAACAGTGAGTCATCCTGAACCCAGTATTACAAACAGTAAAAGAACAAACTCAACTTAACCATAAAAGCATGGAAAAAAGCCCTTGCACCTAGTATTACAAGGAGGATGTGGAACTTCTGCTCAACCATACAAACAGGGCATCGGACACCAGTATTACAAGGTGGATGAATTCCTCTGAGCTCAATCGTAGGAGCAGGTAAATGAAAACATCCTACAACCAGAATTAATGAGAAGGGGCATCTACCAGCTTCAACTGTAGGAACAGGGCACTATCTACTTGAACCTGGGTTTTACATAGAAGATCCAGCTTTGGCTGGTCTAGCTCCCACCTACATCAGCACCTCTGGGAACAAAACTCCAGTAGGCAATATGAGTGATGGGTTCCCAAATTTGCCCTTTTCTAAACTGAGTGTAGTGATATATAATGTTATGATATGTGGTCAGCACTCATGAGGACCTGGGAAGTGGCAAGGACTCCCAAATTTCACTCAAGTAAGGGAGGGATAAAAGGCAGTGGGGAGACCAGAGGAACATCACACCTGAGAAAATACATTGAATGACCACAAACAAAGCCCTATTTTGCAAAGCAGACTGGTCTTGATTTATTCAATCGAAGGAGCAGCAGGGATGGGCAGCAATCCCTTTTGCTTTATTCATGACAGTCCAAGAGTGTTGGTTCACCAAGTACTTAAAAGAATACTATATATAGAGAAATATATACACACCATTAGGTAAGCTACTAATACGCATGTGGAGCACCATAACTCAATAGAGAGTGTTATAACTGTAAAGGTATATGGTGCAGTTTTTGAGGAAAGCATACCTAACCAGGCAACACTTGCCATTGAGCAAGTTATCAAAGAAAAAAAGGAAGACCCTGGAATAAAACAAACAGGAAAAGACACCCAAGTTATGGTTGAACCAGTGCATGTAAAATTGCCAAAAGAGACAGATGATATCCATCAGAGAAGGATACAGCTAGGTTGTACATGTAATGAGAGACAAAAGTACGGAGA